GCGTATTTCTGAGGGAGGGGCTTCATAAAAGCAGGAAATGATCAGCCCGTTTATCAGAGAAGGGACAGAGCGACTAAGAATAAAGGTAAATTAAGTGAAAAATAATGCGTTTTTAAAAAAACGAAGCATGAACACATGATAGACTGCACCCCATAAACACAATCAAGCCTAGAACAAAACAACTCAACCACCCCTTTAAAATTTGTTGACATACCTGGAAAGGGCGTTAGTGGCTACTGTTTCCATGGTTACCACCTCAGACAAACTTAACTAACGGTAGTGTTCGCCGGAATCTATTTGGAGGCCGTTAATATTCGCTCTGACCAACGTGTAATCTAACTACCTTTTATGGTTGCAGAAACGTTTGAAAACACCGTTGACGCATATACATATTGGTAAGTTATAGCCTACAAAACATATTCAACCCCAACTCCATCGCTGGCACTCGTGCTCGCTTAAACTCCTTGGTCCAGATGGGGGTTAGGAGTGACGCAATATTTCAAGGCATCGTTTACAGCCACAAACTAATAACCTGCGAAATACACCGTATGAAACAATAGTCCTTACATAACATAACTGCCTACAGAACTCCCACGTCATTTGGGAAACTCGAGCGTATCTATGACATTTTTTTAAAACATCGTTCGTTCACTCTAATGGTATTTGCAATAACCTACGATATTCTGTAACCCAGGCTCCCCCCTTTATTTCCACACGAAGAGCTTGCCTCACTGAGACACGGCCTCCTTAATTCTCCGCCGATGACATTCTCTGGCCGCCGTTCAAACCGTTTGAGAACGGAGAGAGCGAGCGCACACCCGCCGACTTTGGCGAATCCGGTCCGGCCACGCCCCTTCGCTCCTTTTAAGGTGTGACGACGGCTGATGACGTAAAGCGTGAGGTGTGTGCGTTGGAAAATGAACATCAGTGAATGAAAAAAGCGCCCTGGAAGTCACTCATTGCCCACAGAAACGGTGCCGGTTATGTAACCCGATTGCATGTGTAAGGCAAAGAAGGCAAAAAACGCTCTCGGCGTGTCTCGTCGCTGGAGATTCCAAGCAACTTTTCTGTTGAAGTCTGGTTCTCATTGCTGCCTCTGATTAGGTGAGTACTGCCGGTTGTTGCTTGGTTTAGTTTGTGAAATTAGAGCACACAAGAAGAAGTGTGTCATTGTGTTAAAGGCGCCCGGTGCAAGCGCCCATAACGGGTTTACATGGTGCTGTAGACGTTCGGGTCGTGCAGTTAAAGTTGCAACAGATAGAACGTGAGTATTTATGTCTTGTTTTTTATTAGTAGCGAGAAGTAAATGTGTTGTTCTGGAAATACATTTATGGTTTTCTCTCTGTGATTAAGTAATTTGTTTCTTAATTGTTAAGGACAGTCTCTGTACTTTGTTCCTGTACTTCTTGTGAAGTGACATATTCCAGGAATGTGATATCTATAAGTGTCAGATGGTTGGACGGATTATGTGAGTCTGCATATACATATTCATTCATTGGCCGAGTTGACGTCTCTCCGTATGTTTTTTATGGAGGTCAAGAGGAACAGCAGAGTAAAATCCAATCCTACTGTTTTCTTTTACAGCCTCTTATGGACTGAAGTCATAGATAATGCTTTTAACGATGCCGATATGCCTGTTGAAAGTTTGAGCTTAATAACCCTCAGAATAAAAGCGCTTATGAAAAGATTGCAAGTTATGTAACACATGACTTGAGAATCATGAGCCGGTGGCAGTGACGTCATGCCCTGGATTTGGTTGAGGGGAATGAATAAAAAGTTCACTGCTGACGATGTGTTCGCGCTTATTACTCGTTCAGACTTTTTTTCCCACTCGTCACTCACTTATAATTTTCGCTCTAAACTGACTTTGATCTCGCTTATTGGCTCATTTTATGTGTAGTTAATTTGTTGGTGTTGCTAGTTCTGGACAAAGTTAACAAATGGACGCAAGTTAAACATTATTTGAGATATTGGTGACTTGTTTGAGTGTGCTATAAATGCTTTATTGTTTGTGTAGTTTGTCTATGTCTGGCACAGCACGAGGGCAGTTGTCAGTCTAGTTTTTTTATTTTTATTATTATTATTATTATTCTGGTTGCCTGAATGAAACACAAATGACATCAAATTAATCTATGAACAAATTGGTTTGTGTTTGATAATGTATTTGTGTGAAGGATTCACACTTGAGCTGCTTTGTTGCATTGAAAAATATCATCATACATTTTCAAATCAGCAACAGTGTTCTCCACTATGGAACGATATTCCGGACAATTTTCAAATAGAATAGCAAATTGTATTTTCAATTGCGTTTTCAATATGTGGACGCATAAATTGTGACATAATCCAAATGCAATTGCAAATCCTGCATTACCGTTTGCATTTTCGCTTTCGCGAACGCACAGTGGCTGCCAAATTTCAAATGAAAAAGCAAAGTCCATTTGCAACTGTATTTCCCATGTCTTAGGAGTTACGAGCCTGTCATATTTAAATAGCAATATTAACTATACTTATTTTCCACCTTACTTTATATTTTATTCAACAGTTTTAATCCGTTATGGAGTCACTGTGCATTCGCGAAAGCGAAAATGCAAACGGTAATACAGGATTTGCAATTGCATTTGGCTTATGTCACAATTTATGCGTCCACATATTGAAAACGCAATTGAAAATACAATTTGCTATTCTATTTGAAAATTGTCCGGAATATCGTTCCATACTCCTCAGCTGTACAGCACTGAAAAGCAATGTAATGCTCAAAAATATGTTTTTAGTAGGGCAGGGCTGCACGATAAATCGCATGCGATATTTAATGCGCATCTTGTCAGTAAAGCCGCTTCTGTAATCAGCGGTAAATCTCCATCACGTGCGTGCTTTCACATGGAGCATCATTTACTACACAGAGCCATTGTTCACTGACAAGTTGCGCAAAACCACGATCATATATGATATATATGAATATCTCTTTGGGTTTGAGACTTTAGTCTTTGCAACTTTAGGGATCGTATCTATTCACGAACAGCTTGTAACACTCCAAAGAGAAAGGAAAACTTGAAATCGCATCATATGACCCCTTTAAGGCAACGCTTATAACAAATTCAGATCTTTCTTGAACAAGAGTGTCAGAACCATCAGATATCAAATTAGATTAAAACCTGTGCAGCTGGTTTCAAAACTCTTTCCCTCAATGATGGTCCTCTTACATAATTGTTCCTTTTGTTTACTGTCAAGCCTACAAAGAGCATGAGATGCTATGTTTAATTTAAACTCTACATTGTTATAGCAGACTTTTTCCAGAGTGTCTTTTTGTCACATGGGAATTTTGATATATCTTCTTTCAATATATTGCCTATTCAAAGAGAGCAAAGTGAATCCTGATAATAACATGTACATTTATTTGAGTGTTTCATGCGTATTTTATCTTTCTGTAGTGACTGTGAAGGGGTGGGAGATTGAAAGGGAGAGATTGTGAATCAGCCTGTGTCATTGTTAATTAAGTTGGCAATTAATTAGCCATGTTAGTAACTGGCTGATTATCACCCAGTGGTCACTTAATGTAATGAAGCAATATGCTGTTTAACTGTGCTGTGACGGATATTGAATCAGATTCATGTGTTAAGATGTTTGCTAGTAAATTTAGTGTTGGTCAAGAAAAGAATAGTTGTTTGCAGTCAGTCACATGCTGTCCAAACCGTGCAAATGGACATTTGGCAAAACCCTGGCTGTGTCTGAAATCACCCCAATAGCCCTGCTTTAGGGGACAACCATTTGTAGTGTGTCCGAAACCACAGTGGACATTAAATCCCATAATGCACCTCAAAAACTAGTGCACAGTTGATGTACACTTTACGGCTAGCCGCTACAAAATACTCATGCGCTGTGTGCTTCGTGCCGAATGAATTCCGCATTTCGTTCACAGCATTTCCAATGCACTCAGTATCCAAATTTGCTCACCTGTTTTTTGTTTACTTACTTAGTGGACTATGTTAGCAGTGTAATGAGGACATCTTATTTTTTCAAAACTTCTAGTTGTTAGTACTTTCCTGGCTCTTGATTGGCTCTTCCTGAGGTAGCCAGTCATTGATTATCTCAACGTTACCTCATCAGAATAACGCAGATGTATTTTTTAAGGATTTAGTGTTTTATATAGCTCTCTTTATCTGTTTCATGTTGTATGAATGGCTCAGTCAGTTATTCTCTTTCTTCAGTCCTGTATATCTGTTGCGCTGTGTGGGCTGATAGATGTGCCCTGTTCTGCTCTAAATGTTAAATTGTTCTGCATAAAGGCTCTCATTAGTAGAAAATCTCATAGAGTGATTCACAAAAAAAAACCTCAGCGGAAACTTGGGGTTGTGGGTGGTGAGGGCATATGACAGGTACACCCCCTCTGGTGTGAGTGTGTGTGTTGGGTAACAGAATGACACAGTGGCCACTGCTGGGCTGTTATGGAGCTATCGCACTGGGGAAACTGGGTTACTGGGGCATGGCCTGCAAGCTTCGCCCTAGCATGCAGGCAAGCATGTCACTGTGACTCGGCAGGCAGAAATGGCAGTGAGCCGCTACTGCGTCTGAGTGTGTTAAAAAATAAAAAGCGCCGGCCCTTTAAGAGTTCTCAGAGCAGTGGTGAATGTTCAAATTCTGTGTCAGATCTACCAGTAGCCCCTCACTGCAGAACACAAGATCCAGGGGGCGTGGTTGGATCCACATCTAGGGGGTGGAGATTGGTAGGTTTAGGGGTGGAGATGGGTGGGTTTAGGGATCAGGGGGTGTAGACGGGTAGGTTTAGGTATATGTAAGGTGGGAGGAGTTGGATTTGGATCCAACCAACCACGCCTCTTGGATCTTGTGTTCTGCAGTGAGGACCATCTCAGATCTACAGCCATGTGAACAGAGCATGAAGCTAAAAAACTGAGTAGACAGATAAAAATGAAAGAGACTCAGTAAAGACGGGTAGAGAGAAAGTGAAGAAGAAAAAACATTAGAGAAAACACCCTAATGCCTGACACCATTAAAAAAAGCAGCATTTCAAGCATAAATGTAGGAATTGATTAGCTTGACTCCAATTGATTAGAGTCAAAGAAAGGACAGCATTTCATTCATATATATGACCCTGGATCACAAAACCAGTCATAAGGGGCAATTTTTTTAAATTTAGATTTATACATCAAATGAAGTTCTTAGCAAAAATTAAGTTTTGATATATTTATGGCAGTAAATTTACAAAATATCTTCATGGAACTTGATCTTTACTTAATATCTTAATGATTTTTTTGGCATAAAAGAAAAATCGATAATTTTGACCCATACAATATTTTTATATATATATATATATCTTTTTTTTATAATTTTGGCTATTGATACAAATATACTAGTGCGACTTATGATTGGTTTTGTGACCGATATATATATATATATATATATATATATATGTTTATTTATAAAATATGAAATGCTGCTTTTTTTTAATGGTGTCAGGCATTAGGGCACCTTACTGCGCCTTACGAAGTCCCAGACCAGCGTACCTGTGCTAGGTGCTGTTTCTGTTTATGACACATCTTAAGAAAACACAAATAACTTGACGCTTTAGCCACATTTTCAGTGTCTGCAAACTTTGGATGTGACTGACTAGGGCTGAACAATAATTCAACATTTATAATGTTACAAAAGATTTCTATTTCAGATAAATAGTGTTCATATCGATATCGGAATTATATCGTATCGACCGAAATTAAGAAATATATCGTGATATTAATTTTGGCCATATCGTTCAGCCCTATGACTGACTGATTCCTGTAGTTCTGGATTTCCCAGACTAGTGTTTGTGAACCCCTGGGGGCTTTGGAGTTAATGAAAAGCTACTAATTAAATCATAAAAATAAAAAAAATAAAATAAATAATACTTTTAAAGAAAAACAATCCAAATCCAAACACTTACTAAAAAATTTAATATTTTATTTACTTGCATGTCATGTGGCCAGTAACTGACATCATGGTTTAATGTATGAAATATTGTTAATTAAAATCTCAGGAAGTATTTAAAGACATCTCGAACAGTGTGTATCACTTTGAATAAAAACATCATACCAAGTGTATGTAAATTTAAATGA